CATTTAAAAAAAGTCAGTTATTTTAGATTGTAAACTACAACACGAGTATGAGAGCTATGCAGACTAACCCACTGTCACGTCATTTAAAGGGGTGGCGCATCTCACCCCACCGAATCAGGTGGTGACAGTACCACCCACAATCGTTCTAGGAAGCGGACTCTGACTGAACACGTAGTATTTTCTTTGATAAATAAAATTTATAATTTAATTTTGTAAATTTAAGAGTGCTTCAAATATGACGTTAAAACAGGGTTTTATGTCGTTACAAGTGGGTTTTTTAACATTATCTAGTATAGTAAAGTTGTGGGACCGATAAAAATTTGACGTTATTTTAGGGTTGTCGTTACATCCGATGTCGTTATAATCGGGTTAAACTGTATTAATAAATGTAAAAACAAAAAAAATTATATTTTGAAAGTTAGATTTAATATAAAAATTATGCCAATTAGCGACATCTAATGTCAAAAACATCCCAGTGCAGAAATGAGATATCTCGGGTCCACAGGTGAATGTCATTATGTTTCGACCTGAGATATTTGGGAATAGCGGGAATAGGTTAAGATTTCTATAATTAATTTATATTATAGTTCTTTACTTATAAATATCTTTTATTAAATAAAAATGTAAAACTCTTTCTTGTACAGAATTTGTTGGTGGAAATATCAAAACCACTCTGGAGCCTCTTTCATATGATTCCCCATGATATATTTTGATATGTTTATTCCATTCTATAATTTTTGCTAGCCACTCACCAGTAGGTTTAATAAGCTCTCCATAAGACAAATGCTGAACCCATGATGGAATGCTATAGTTATGGTGATTTTTAATTTTGCTAGTGGAATTACCCAGATTTGGGAATTTTTCTTTATATTTATAGGCAAGATATTCTGCTATATATTCGAGAGCATTGTGAGAAGTTTCTTCAGAGATTGTGTTAAAGTCTGGATTGCAAGTAGAGTTTTATGAAGATATATTTGAAGAAAAAGTAGTTCTACATTCAATAGATTGGTTTGTATTTTCATATGATACTTCTACATGTGCTTGCTCTAAAAGTTTGGGTATAATATATTCCTCTTGTGTTTGATCTGTAGTATTTACTTTTGACTCTAAAATACCAGGATTCTTACCTAAAATAATAAATTTAATCCTATTTATAGGATTCAATGGGCTTGAATGTTCATTAGAATAATTTGAAAAAAAAAGTTTTCATGACAATCTTGATAACTTCTGAGTGCAGATGTATTTTATGTCAAAAATTGATTTCATATCTTGGAAAAGATCGATTATAGATTTCATTGAGATGATCATTTCTTTTTGGAAAATTTGGAGGACATTTTTTCCACTTGCTCTCATTGTTGAGATTATTTTTATCATTTTATTTAAATGTGCTTCTTGTAATTCCAAATCTACACCATATACAGTTTTGCTTGGAACAAAACCTTTTGATGCATAGTTATTAAAAATGTCAAACCACATATTTATATCTCTAATAAAATTACCTAATCTCTGCCATTTTCTTGTCTGTATTGGGAAGGTAATGTAAAAGAGCTGTAGCCACAGTATTTGATAAAATCTGAGCTGCCAATTTAACATTTTAGTGCTGGCTTTTTTGACAGTTTAAATGTTTTTGATTAATTTTTTAACATGAATTCACTTTGGTATTGATAAGAGAAATGAAGGCTTGCAATGAATTTTTGTTTATTACAGAACCATTTTCAAACTTATAACCTACATCAATGAGTCAGTTTTGCAATAATTTTGGTAAATGAGGAGCATCTGCAAATATATATACATCATTTTTTATATTTGGATGAAAGAAGAACGTTTCATTGATATTCGCATTTAATTCTCTCCATAAACTTATGTTACTGCAACTACAGTCACTGATGCAAGTTATTACATTATATGATATTGAATAAAGTTCTGCTATTATTTTTAAAAGTATCTCCCTTTGTCATTTTTTGATCAAATCCAATATAAACAGGTTGCTTTCAGTTTGAAAAAAGACCTCTTGCCATGATGACTTGCATTTGATTGCAGATCCTAGAACTTCATCTGCAGAGACATCATACTCTTCAAATGCTTTAATTTTGACTTTATCAAATGAAAGCACACTGTTTTTTTGAAAGGTGTAAAATTTTCTTCAGCCAATTTCAACATTAATAAGACATCTTTTAATATATATTCCTTGTTGTAAATTTACTTCAGATGTCCATTTCTTCAAAGATGATAAAGATGGCAAAAGATAATGCAGTTTATTTTTTAAATATGAGTAGCATTTCTTGCTGTAATACCTATCTTAATGTAAAGGCTATCAACATATGTGTTCCAGTTAACTTGAATTTTCTTTTTTGATTGTAATAAAATTTGATTTTTTGTAAAGACCTGTGTCAACAAATCTGTAGTTATCTGGTTTGATTTTGTAGATTTGGATGACAGATATTTCTTCTTTTGTAATATCGTAGCAAATCGTTTACTACTATTTTTTTTATAATCTTCTTTCCATTTTTCATATTCTGATTTAAAACATTATATTCTAACAGCTTCTTATGTTTAATTTTGTAATGGTATTCATCTTTAAGAGTGTTACTATTTTTATCATTATGTTTTAAAAGATTATTAACTTGTTTTTGTTTTGAACTTTTCTCGTTCTATAACTGTTAGGTTCATTCTGTCTGGTAAATTTAATGTAGAGACAGCTGTTTTCTTCAGAATCTTTCTAACTGGTAAACCTAAAATAGAAAAATATTCTTCAATTTTATACTAAAACAAGCAAATTAATATTCACATGCAAAAACAAGTAACATATATGAATGTACTATACTTATGACTTACCCAACAATTCACTTTGTAAATCTCTTTCATAATCACTTTGAACAAAATGAACAGAACATATTCTATTTGCATCTGGATTAAATTTATTATCCCTTTTGCAATGATTCATCCATTCAGACCTAATACTTTTAGAAATTAAGTCTCTTTGTCTAGGATGTTACACTTTCTCTTTTAGCTTTTACTGCAACAAGGTTATTATTGCAACCATACACAGGCATTTTGTTTTTCACCTAACATAAAAATATAGCTTTGAATATGTAATGACTTATATTTAAATCGTCTTACTTTATAAGCAACTTAGTCAAATAAACAATTACAGAAATATTAAAATAAATCACTTTGTTAATCACAAAATTGGACAAATATTGAAATGAAAACTAAACGTGCGCATGCTGCTATATGTAAACAAAGTGGTTGGGTCTCATGCTGACATCACTAACTTTACATTCCTGGCTAACATTGCAGAAAAGGAATCTGGCTATCCTAGTATATAGTATATAGTCCTTGCCAATTACCCATAGATGAGTTTTGGGGTCATTTTTTTCCCTCTCCAAAATAAATATCTAAAATACATAGGTTTTTTTGTCATAGGAGCATGATCCTACAACATGTTTATGGCAATTGGTGAAATAATAAATGTTTTAATAAGGCAGTTAGTATGGATTGATATTCTTTCCTACAGAAATAATTTGCAAAATAATTACTACTATGTTTTCTAATAATTATTATGTAATTAATTTTTTTTAACAAATCAAGCAGATAAAAATATAATGAAATAAAATACAAGAATATCCAGTTTTTTAAATAGAATAATGTAATAACTATGATTCAAAAAACAAAATATTTTAAAAAAGAATTGAGATGATATACAAAAAGTCAATATCATTAGTATCATCATTCTGTTAAAAATATTAAAATATATATATATAACTTGTATTTACTCAAATGTAAGACATCATTGAATTTAAGACACACCTTAATTCCTGCATACTTACCCACAGATTTTCTTTTGAAAATAGCAAGTTTGAGACAAATTTATTTCACAGGAAAATAACTTATATATTAATGTCTTTTGTGGTATCAAAGTCAGAAACTGCTTCACTTTGTGTTAGATTCTTCTGAATTAACACTGGATTCGTTGTTCTTCCATTTTCTTATGTGTAATCACCTTCAATGCCATTTTAAACATTAAAAATGCAGTTTCTTGAAAGAGTGCAGCACAACTTTTTCTGTTTTTTTTTAACTGACTATTTATGAGACTATATTAATAGAGTAATGAGATTGAACTTATATATTTACTATTACAAATATTGTTTAAATAAGATCATTAAAATTATATAATGGAAGTAATGACAGAATTAAGACACATGGCACTAGAGGTTATTACTTATAATATATTACATTGAATCTGATGTACACCCTTTTTTAGATACAAAAGTATGAAAAAAGTGCATCTTACATTAGAGTAAATACAATATATTAAAATTAACTAAAATTTGCATTAATAAACAATTCTTATATAGTTTTTTTTATGTCAAATTAAGCTTTTTGTTAGAAATAATAGCCCTTTCATTCTTTTGCTACATGGAAAAATAACAATAGATACTTATAATGCAACTAGATTTACAATTAATTATAAAAAAAGTTTGGATAATTTCAAATTTTATGAATCCAAGAATCTAATTTTAAGTAAGATCTTAATTATCTCTCTTTAAAATTTTAACTACATTGTTTTTATTTATTTGTTGCAGTGATTCACAATGACTAAGAAAGAAATTTTAAATAGTTGTTAAAATTTTGAGAAAGTTATAAAATAACAGGATTTGTACTTTTAGGTTTTTATATTTAAATTGTAAAATTAAGTATAAAAATAAAATATTAAACTTTTATAAGAATTATTATATAAAATCTCATTTAATTAATTTGTTATACTAAGCAAGCTTTAACAAACCTGTTACAATTAAAAATTTGGTCAAAAAAGTTCACATTAATTAAAATAGAAAAAAAAATTTGACTGCCTTACATAAAGTTATACATATACTTCATATATATTTTATGTAATAAAAATAAATTATAAGAAAATAAAATTATGAATCTTATTTTAACTAAATTTTATTAAATTTATCTTATGTGTTAAAAGTATATTTAATGATGATAAATAATACTTTTTAGGTTATGCCTGGACTATTGCTTTGTTTTGTTTTAAGATATGATGCTTACAAAAAATCACAACTAAGCTCAGCAGAAGCAGGTGTTCCTCCTCCTAATCAACTTAATAAAATATCTTATTTCCATTGTTCATTGATAGGATATTTTTTAGGTAAATCATTAAGAGAGATTTATTCTTTTATTTTAGTTGTTTTATATCATAAGACATTCATAATATCTAGCATTATTCAAATACTGATGGAAAAAAATCACTAATAAATGCATAATGACATATAATTAATTATCTCTGTTCATACTACACATGTTGCATACCTCTATACATTCATAAAAATTAACTTTATTAATTGAAAAATATTGAGTAATTGATAAAACAACAAAGTTAGATGTTAAAAATTCTCATACTGTTACAAATAAACTATTACTGTACAAATAACTACTGTTTATATCTTAATATAAACAGAAGTATCATGATGCATTTAATTAATAGTGATAGGTAAGAAGTGTTTTGAAACACATGCCATAAGCAAATATTTGCATTTTCTATTTTGTTTCTACCTTCTGCATGTATCATGCAATATTTTGAATTCACCATTTCACTAGAGACTAATTGAAAAACTATCTAAAAATGATCATTATTGATGATAAATTTAGCATCATTTACCTTAAACAAGCAGCATTTTGTTGTGTTCTTACAGTTTAAATGTTGTTGAAATAGAAAAGTTATGTTATTAAATAGAAATATCTTTTTTGTTTTTTTAATGAAAGTTTAAACTATTTTACTGTTAAATATCTGTAATGATATATTTTTCAAACATTCAAAGAATTCTATTCTATTCTAGAAAGTATAGATTAATGAAATGTAGTAACTGTTAAAATTATTGATTGTGTAAAAGCTAGAAGGCTGTAAAACAGTTATTAAGAAGTAAAATGATTGCTTCATTTGTATGAAACAATCATACTTGCTTCATACAAGTGAAACAATTAAGCTTGCATTTTAAGCTCAATTATAAATCAGATACAATGAAAGATGTGAAGACATCTTTTAGTTATATATGATTTATAATTGAACTTACAATATAAGTAGTTTAAACGAAGAAAGAGTAACTTTGATTGAATTCTAATTAGTAGTTTGTTCTTGTTCTTTCTAAATTGACATCATACAAAAGGTGCCGAAGAAAGATTCTTATTATACAAACTCATAATACAAAAATAAAGCAGTCTATTGAAATGAGGTTTGTGATAAAAGAAAGAATAACTCAAAAGTGTTTTAGTGCAAATGTTTATAATGGTACAGTACTAGTGGCTTGCGGAATTAAAAATGGTGTTAATATAGGTAAAAGTGTAATGTGTGTGTTGTGATTAGCTAAAACAAAATCATTAAAACTGTGCAAAGAAAATATTACTGAAACTACAGAACACCACAAACACCACCACCAAGTGTCCCTTCAATTTACGCTTGAATGCAGAAATTTAAAGATACAAGAAGTGTTCAGAACTCAAAAGATTATGGCTGCTCATCAACATTGTATGAATCCGGAACAGGCTAGAGAATTGTTCTGTTAGAGTCTAAGGAATTCAGAGGTTTTTTGAATGTGTGCTAATAAAATAATCTTTGATTTCTTTTACTGTAAACTGCATGTCAATAGACCATTTTGTTTTTGTGTTTATGAATTTGAATTACTGAATCTTTACTACTATTCAAAGTAGTAAAGATCTTTCTCAGACACCCTGTATATTTTTGGAGATATTTATAATTATGAAGTAGTTAAAATATAATTAAAATATATTTCTCTCTATTAAAATATGTTTAGTTAAAAAAAAAATTAATACCTTTACATAATACAAGTATTTAAAAATTTTGTTTTGAAGGTAATTTTAAATGATATAATTTTTTTAAAAGGTTTATTGACAGCTACTGTATCATCAGAAGTATTTAAAGCTGCTCAGCCAGCTCTTCTCTACTTAGTTCCATTTACTCTGTTACCTTTACTTACGATGGCTTATCTAAAGGTAAGAATAAATTCTGAAATTACCAGACTAATTACTATTGAATATATTGAGATTAAAATTATTCAAAAACAAGACTTTTTTTTCTGCTGTCAAAATTTAATAGACCTTTTTTATATACCGTATTTACTCTCATATAAGACAAGGTTTTTATTCATTTATCACAGCTTCAAATTCCTAGGTCATCCTATAAGCGTGAACGAAAGATTCTTTGCATTTTTGCAAGTAATTTTTGTGAACAGTGTATTCGCAATTTTTACTGGATGCTTACCGTCTTGTATTTAAAAACAAGTATTTTATCTGGATCATTTGAATCATTCTTGTATCTTGTCAGGAGTAAAGATGAATAGCAATAAGAATAGCAAAGCTTTTGAATTGAATTCCAGATTGAAATTCCAAAATCACACAGGAGCCCGATATAAGTTTTAATCCATTCCCACGTGAAAACAGATGATTATTCGGAAATCAGAATTTGGATAAACTCGTAAGTGTAATTGATGGAGAGTGGATTTGACTGTTAAGAATTGGCAAAAAAAAAGGTTCCCGTTTGTCCAGCTTTACATAAACAAATTATGTTGTCGATTATTTTGATCTTTAAAGTCACACCTTGTCCTATATGCGAATAAATACAATATTTTTTAAATAATTGTTTTAAAGGTTATGTTATTCAAAAATTTAAATGTGTATAAATTAAATACTTTGAATAATATACTCAAATATTCTAGGTTAAAATGTTAAAAGTCTGTTTAAATAATCTTTTTGATATAGATTAATAGTTTTATTTATTCTATATATTAATCAAACCAAAAAGATGTAAAAATAAATCATTTATAAGAAAATATAATTAAGTTTTGATTTTAAAATATTAAAAGATTTCAGTGTCTTTGAGTTTTAATTATCCATAATCAAGAGCCTAGTTCTTTATTCTGTAATGTCGTTATTATTTCAGTTTGTTTGTAGAGAACTGTTTAAAAAAGTCGTATTTGTTTTACAGAAAATTTAGAACTTTCCATTAAACAGATTATAATTTTGTGTAATTATATACTCAAGAAATACTTGAATATTTTATTTTTTTGTTCATATGCAGATGTATAATATTTTTTGAATAGTTACATATATTTTCTTAATAGTTATTTTAAAAGTCTTTAGTTTTCTCAAACTCTTTTATATCATGAATACAGTAGATTCTTGCTGATCCAGCATCTCAGTTATCGGGCATACCCATCCAGTGTAATTGCTTATGCACTGTCTTGTTTACCAGGTTTCATTTCTTTGTAGAATATTGAATTTTAGTGCACTGTATTATTTGCCATCCTGCCTCCAAAAAGAATTGCTACTGAAGGGCAACAGGTCCTACCATTCATTGATTTTAGGCCCACACACACTCATGCAATCTGCCACCCAAGGTTGGCTATATTAGCATAGTCTGCTGTACATAAAATATGATTTTTAGAAATGTATGTTTTTAAAGTTAACTTATAATTTTAATTACTTACATTAATTGATGAATATATATAATATTTGCATCCATGCCAAATCTTATACTTTTTAAATGAATATGAATATGATATTTTTGAATATTTTTTATTTTTAATAATACTTTAGTTTTCTAATTTTGAAGTTTAGTGTTTAATTGTTGGCATTCAATAGGATTTTAACATTGTTTAAATGTTATAATTTGTAAACAATCTGTACAATAACTTTCAAATGGACTAGAATTTTATTTTAATACCACAATTTAGTTATACTTCTCTCTGTGTTGTCTTGTATTTTCAACTTTTAATATATACAATTTCTCTTTTTTTCTTATTAATTAGAGAACTCATTATATTTAATAGGTATCATCTGTATCAATAATTTAATTTTAGGCTGTGTACACATTCGGCGTTTTGCATTGCGTTAAACGTGCGTTAGCAGCGTACACACCACGCGTTAGCTCGGTGTTCGATGACCATTTAGTGGAGCGTGAGCACTGGCTCAGTTTGGAAATGGACGTGAAAGTAATTGCTTGTGTGTGCCTCCTCCATCATCGCTATAAAAGACGATGGCAGAGGCAAAAAGAATTTTGGGTGCACTCAATATTACGAGATAGACTGACGCATGGAATGTTTGTGACGTTGTATCCAAAACTAAGACAATATGAACCCAAATTTTAAAATTCTTCTAGAATATCTATAAAATCATTTGACAATGGCTGGTCTCTTTTAGATTTCATCAATAAATAGATCAGTATCAAAATGATCATTCTCCATTTTGGCCAACGTACGTCCACTCTACCCGAAAGCGTGCGATTGAATGTACAACAACATGGCAGCACATATATCTCAAAGTGTGCGGCTGACACCCACGAAACACGTGTTCTAACAAAAATCTATCAACGCACGTTTGAGTATGTATACCTATGCAGAACTCTTGGTTCTTTAAAACTCCTAATGTGTACATGGCCTTATTTTAAATTTTTTTAACAAAGTCAATAAATGAATTAAAAATACTTGTATTATATTTAATGAGACATGCCATTATATAATTTGTAACATTTTTATGAAACTTTTTTTAACATTTCTATTTATTGACAAATTAATTGAATGTAATTTATAATAATTGTAATATTTTAAACTTTTTACAGGGAGATCTGCGACGCATGTGGAGCGAACCTTTTATAGTTACTCAACCATCTAAACATCAAGAAGTTTGAATTAATCATAAAAATAAGACTATTATAATAATTGACTTGACTGTTGCTAGGCAACTGCACTGCCCAAACCAAATGCTATAGCCCCAGGCAACTAGTCCTTTGATCTCCTGAGGCTAGAAGATATTTTGGAGGCCATCAAAGAATCTCATCTAAATTTTACAATAAGGTGTAGAAATTTGCTAGATATCTGTTATTGGAATTAAGTTGGCAAGATTGGAGTGCCTTATAAGTTGTGAAGAACTTTCATGTTTGGAAACTTTGTTTGAGAAGTTTATAAACTTGATGCTGAAAGGAAAGTCAGTTTAGCAAGACTTTAAAAAAGCTTAAAAAGTGAAATTAAATATCAAACAAACAGATCATGACGTCAATATTTAAATCCACATAGAGAATTTGAACAGAACTTTATACAAGATTTTTTTGTGTATTAGTCTAATTTGTTGTTTGTGTTTTTAGAGATCAATTTTTTTAAGTTTCACAAAAGTAAAAATAACTCACATAGGGTTGTCTCGTTAAATATTTTGCATTTTAATTTGAAAAAATGTCATTGCCGACAAGCAGATAACACATGAAAGCTTTTCTGTAAGAAAGGCAAAAAAAAACAATTTTGGTGCATTCCCAGAGTTTTATAAATGCATGTTTTGTTGGGCTTCCAGAATATTTGTTTTTCATATATAAAATTAATATATAGTTAAATTGCCAGTTTGAATCTAGATCTGACAATTTGAAATAACTCAAGATTGTGAGATATAAATATATTATATATATAAATATAAAATATATCTGGCAGCTGTAAATATAGAAATTTATTATGGGAATATACAATTACCCATAATTTATTCACAAATAGAAACAAAACAAGTACTATTGTTTTAAATCATCAGGGAAAAGCAACATAGTTTCTGACACTCATGGTGCAAAGTAATTTAAAAATCTAAGGTATGGTACCAGCAGAGTCGAAAAAGGAAAAGAGTGAAATGGTCTTGTACAGATACATCTTATTTTAATTCCCTACATTTTACAATTTATTCTCCAGTAGGGGTTGTGGATAGAACACTTTTGTTGTATAATGTGTCACATTTGTAAGATTTTGTATGTGATTTTGTTCTTTATTGTGAATGCACACTGTGTGTGTATACAAAGTCTGCAATATACATAAGTCATTGAAATGTCCCCTAGTAGAAAGATGTTCTGCCATTTTGATACTTGAATATATTTAAAGGTCTCTGTAATAAAGTAATCATACCTTTTACAATTACTTATGTGGAGTGTTTCTTTTAATTATTCTTGCATGTACAGTTTTTTATAATCTGTCATAATATTGAAATTTAAAATTTTAAATATTATTAAAATCTGGATGACAAAAACTCTGATTTTTAATGGCACTTGCATAATTTGGTAAGTATTGTATGTTTAAAACATTCTAAAACCCACTAACACCAAAGCACTTATGAACAACTTTTTCTGGATGCAAGCTTTGTAGGTTCTGGTGGGTTGCATGCATTTTTTCTTGCAGAGTTGTAGATTTTAAGCCTGTCAAGTCATCATTATCACTGTCCATGGGAGTAGTGCCCGTACCATTTTCACCATCCTTTTCCACCTTTCTCTGTCTAGGGCACAGTGAACCAGTTCCTGAATACTATTTTTGCATCATTCTTTCACATCATCCATCCATTTCCCATGTGGGTTGTCTCTTATTTGTCTCCTCCATGATTCAAAGTGTTAGTTTTAATTTCTCACGTGCTCATTCTACAGATGTGACCAGAGAGACCGTGTTTCCTTTGGATGGCACATTGGAATAGCATTTTCTCATATTGGACTCTTATAAACTGTCATTTGTAACCCTATCATGCCAATCTACTCTGAGTAGCTTCCTATAGCATTTTCTTTCAAAGACTTCTAGTCGTCTTCTTGCTTCCTAGTGTAAGACCCATGCCTCACAGCCATTGAGTATGTCCAGAATTTTTAATTTTGTTTTTATTGTAATGGTTTGACTTTTTCAAATGTCCAAGGCTTTGCAGATCCTTTGGCTACTCTTATTTTTATTTCTTTAGGATAGTCTAGATTTTCAGTCAGCTTTCTCCCTAGATATATAAATTCTGTATCCTTTTCAATTCTTGTTCCATTTTGTTAATTCCTTTTGCCTTAATTTGACCTTCCAAATAACATCATCATGGTCTTTTCTAAGTTCATGTGCAGTCTGTATCTCATGCATTCTTCATTTAAGATAACTGTGTTTTCCAGATCAGTTGCATTTTCTTCAAGAATTACAGTATCGTATGCTAATCTAAGGTGGTTGATTCTTTGATCATGCACAGATGTGTCTTTGATATCACTTCTGATGCATTCCATTGCCCTTTCTAGCAGAATTATGAATAAAAGTGGCAATATTGGGTCTCCCTGTCAGGTACTTTTCTTGTTTTAAACCATCTTTTAAGACTTCCAAAATTTCTCACTGCTGCCTTGAATTTTATTAATGTCCTGTAGAAGTTATTTTTATGTCCACTGAAAGGTACCGTCCTATCGAGTATCAACATACTATATAATCTCCAGTTCACTAGTTACTAAAATAAGATATGCTAATGATATGCATACTAGTAATATCAATAATCTCTTCTATACACACTGTAAAATAAACGACTTACTTCTGCTGTAAACCAAAACAGTGCTTATTTCCAAATGTTTTCACAAACATTTTCGAACTTAGTTCTTCTTCAGGTGAATAAAACGGGTAGAATCGATGTTGTTCGAAATATGAACGCAATGTTCTAAGGAAACTCGTGCAATCATCGTATTAAACTTGCGCATGCTCTGTAGATAGAAGGATCGCTTTTGGCTTCACGGACCCTGACATACAAGCTGTATTTGACGAGGCAAAGATAATTTACACCACACAGCTAATACACCATTTGCGCTGGATGGAAGCGATATATATCTATAAAACAGCAAGAGAAGACAAGTGTATAAACAATAAGGATGAACTATCCTTATCGATAGCATGGCAAACTCTTATTTACGACACTTGAGAAGCCAAAAGCGATCCTTCTATCTACAGAGCATGCGCAAGTTTAATACAATGATTGCACGAGTTTCCTTAGAACATTGCGTTCAGATTTCGAATAACATCAATTCTACTCGTTTTATTCACCTGAAGAAGAACTAAGTTTGAAAACGTTTGTGGAAATAAGCACTGTTTTGGTTTACAGCAGAAGTAAGTTGTACTAGTAATATATAGTTTATTCTCATTTTTTCACTGGTCAAGTTTAGTTTGAATGTATTTTACCATGAATATTGGCTTAATTACAGTTGCATAATGGCTCAAAACAGAAAACAGGTAAATAAAATTGATGTCAAAGTCCTGGGGAGCTGCACATTAGGACCTCACAAACTGTAGGTTGCTCATGATTGTTTCAAAGAATCTCTCATTAAATTTGCTAAATTACTTGAGGTTTTATTTTGCAATATGCTAATAAATTGACAAAATATATATCAGTAAAATATTCAACTTCATGTATGAAAATTATTAAAAGCATTTTTTCTGTATTTGGTTAATAATTGATTTTCAAATAAAATTAAAATATTTTTGTTAACTGAGAAAAGTAAACAAGAAAAAGCAGTTTTGTTGAAATTAAAATACTACATGATTTTAAAATATTCTATTAGAATTACTCTATTTCTCTTAAGAATGCTTTCATGTATAATAAAGATTAATATAATTACATAAAATTAAAAAATATATACCTTGTATAATTTCTGTAGAAAATAACCATACTGGTTATTCAATGATGCTGACTGGGAATGATTGGTGCCCACAGCTTCCTACTATGGTACTCGCTGGCTATTACTTTATTCTGGCATGGTGTTGTGTATATATATATACAAATATAAACATAATAACTATAAAAGACTATAAAAAAAATTATTTTCGTTACTTAGTTTCATTATAAATCTAAAAATTAATACAGAATATATAAACTTTCTAATACTTTGATAAGTTTATTTTAACATTAAGCATAATGACGAATATGCTTTTAATTATTATTATCCTCATTTTGTCATTTACTTTAAAAAAAGGAATTCACTTTGTAGTGCTGAAAGACTAGTTGTAAGGTTTAATGTTGATTATTTCCTATTGGATGTCTATTGGCATCCAGTTTGAAATATTACAATATTGAAATATGGTATTTTAAAGATTTTAAGATAAAAGTCAATGGAAATATATAGGAATAACTGTAGAAAGAAGCTGCGTAGAGCTTTACATTGGGTGCATTGCCTGGTAAAGCTGCTCTAATATAGCTGGATAAGCAAACCAACATGACCCATTTTATTTGAAAAGGACTGTGTTGTTGGTTTATCCAGCTGTATTAAAGCTACAAGGCAACACATTTGCTGTTATAGAAGAGTAAATATCTTTTAGTCAAGATCATCTGATAACTTGCCTCAAAAGAGTTATTCAACATGTATATCTTACTAAATGGGGTATTCCTTTTCTAAACCTTGGATTTGAAATTTACCATCAGTCTGTCAATGATTTCCATGCTATATTATGTTTGAAGATAACTGAAATTTTAAACTATCTATGAAAATGTTACTTTAGTATGAATTCAGCTTACACTCCACATTAACATTCCACCAGTGGCAAGTAGATAAAAACCACTAAATGTGGAGTTTTCTTCTTGTTAGTAATATCTAAATGGGCCAGTTTCCCATAAGAGACCATGCCAGTGGCATCCCCTAGACAGGTCAGCTATGTCTCCCATTGCTGTATATGAATAAAACCAAACCATATTTTATCATCATTGGCTGTATCCAGAAATTTGCTCTTTTAGTTCAAAGCAAAGTAAGCGACAGTATATAAACATATATAAACATCGCTAAACCCGATGTAATATAGCTAATCACCAAACATATGCCGTAAGTGACAGTGATATCTGTACACAGTTTTTATATCATGAATAACATATTTAGCAGATTTCTTAAAACTTTCTTCCCTGTGGGCACTAAGAGCCGTTTTTTAGCAAGCCCTTTATGGTATGGGTTCACTGGGGTAGTGAGGGGCAGAATGCCCATCTGAAAAATTGTTGGGACCCTCAATCCATCCAGATTAGATCCCAGTTAGAGAGGTAGGCTGTCATTTGGCCATCCAGCTGTTGCATCTTTAGCATTTCTGCACCCATAGTAATTAACCTGATAATTGACTATTAAATAATTATCTTGAAGCAAGACATTGTATAGTTTTAAAAAGATTTAACTCTAACATAACTAATCTAACTGTTCATGTATAAAATTCATATTGTATGTAAAGACAAGCAAACAATTCTCTATCAATTTTCATCTTTTCTCTCTTGCCATTATCAATAAAAGAGAACGATAATCGGGCTAGCCGCGAGAAATCCAGATAGGACTCGAATTTGGACTCCTATGGTGGATAATGTCTCACCGCTCCTCTAACCGGCGGATTTTATTATTTAAAAAAATTAATTATACATTAACATAAAATTAAATAAAATTTAATTATTACATAAATTTCATATAAGACATACAATAAGAATAAATTTTATATTGATTTTATATAATAACTAGTAATAAATTTCAATTATTATATAAACCAAAAACACGAAAGGTCATCTAAAAAAAAAGCAAAAATATGGCAGAAATTATAATTTAAAAAAAATACAAAATTGTTTAATACTTTAATAAATATTGCAATATTATTAATTAAAAAATATAAATTAAAAGAAAAAAAAAACTGAAATACTGTATAGAGCGACACAGTTTAACATACGCCGAATTAGGTTCAATTAGAGTGACAAAAAATTATAGTAATGGTAATAATTACTTTAATCTACTTTATAATTTTAATAAGCAGAAATTATAATTAATTAATTATATTTCGGCTAATTTATGTTTAATTACGATTTAGTATACGTTGCGGACATGTACGATTTCATCCGATAACGGCGGATGTAAAGATGGCGAGGGAGTGGTTGACATAAGTCCTCTGTTTCGACATCAGGAAGTTTGTTTATCTAATACGAATCAGTATTAGATATAACGATGATAGATAAGTAATAGTTGATACTGGTAATTTGAGGAGCGTGTATGTGTGAGTGTGTGTACAGTAAATAGGAAGATGAGTGTGTTTAGTGATTTTCAAACAGCCTGGGCTCAACGTTTTCCTGGATGCGAGTTGCCAAAAGCTTGGGAAGATGATGTTCGAGCGAATTTGGCTAAACATCAGCACAGGGTATCTTATCTTAGAGAAGAATTAGAAAAAGAAGAATTCTATGTAGAATACTTGGAAAGTTTATTGGCTGATGTCGATAGAGTTAAAAAATCCTATGGAAGCGAAGCCAGTGCTGTTGGCGAAGAAAAATCGTCACATTCGAGCGATTATAATAGACGCAGCTTGCAGAACAGCTGTGAAACGCTGGAAGGAGGGTTTGACGGAGCTTCCTGCGAAAGCCTGTTCGATAAACACGGCGGCAGTGGTGTTCGAGAAGGCAGTGAAAAGGAGAATGTCCCCGTTACGAATCCGGAGAGTCAGACAAGTAAGAAAGTCGGAAGCAGCAGCAGTAGGACGAGCACTGCCAGTTCCTCCAGCCTTCACGAGGGTGCAAGCGCCGATTATGACGGAGAACATTCCAATCCGTATGTGACGGTCATCGAAGTTGGAGGTGGTGCCGGACAGTCCGATGCGCAGGGTCGCGGCGAGAAGATTCGCCCGTCTGGGTCGGAATCATCCATTAGTGAAACTGCGGTTGGTTGCGAAGAGACGAGTAAACACAGACTGGAAGAGAAAAGAAGTTCAGGATCATACCAGAAGAAGAAACCGCCGACGCCTCCTCCTAAAAAGTCTAGAAATTTAATTTCGACACAGCTCAGTAGGACTGAATTAAAACTGAATAAATCCAAAGTGTCCAGTGATTTGCCAATCGTGGGGCAGCTGAAAAACGATTTGAAACAGAATGAGACGGAAGCTACAAAATTGCCAGGAAATATTGAAAAATTGGATTCTAATTCGTTTCGTCCTCCTTTACCACCCAAACACGAAATAAGTCAAGAATTATTAGACTGTTTGCATTCCCCGTTGCAAGAAACAGAAAATTTTGAATTTGACAATGGCAACGTGACTAATACTAACCAAGAAGGGAATGATAAAACTTCTTTGCAGCTAGATTATTTTAACGACAATCAGACTATATACGATACAGTGGCACCCGACGAAGTTGTACAAACTGATCTTCCAGAAAATACGTACCGTTTATCACAAAATTTATCAAATAATAATACCATAGATAATGCAGAAAGCGAAGGCGATTATGTTGTATTTTCGGAATGTGCTTTTATTCCACAGAAAAGCATATCACACGATATTCCAGTGTCAAAATCTGTTACTAGTGGTGATTCGAATAAAGGTCTAGACAGTCCAGATTATGCAACATATATGAATATTGATTACTTCTTGAAGAAGAAAGAGAAATTCAGTATAACTTCGCACGGAGAATCATTTGCCGTAGATTCGGACGACGACGATCATGACGACGCCTTATTAGTACATTCTTTTTCTAGTGATCAAGAATTGGGCGATAGTGGGACGACAAACGAGGATGTTAAAGGTTTAGAAAGTAATCCATCAACTGTAACCGACGATGTGTTTGATGTAGATTCTGGTAAGTCAGCTGTTATGTATTATTTTGTCTTTATCAAAATTGTCTTTCTTTTTTCCAAATTATTGAATATTTTAAAAGATCTTTTGCAGATAAGATCCATTTCAAAATTTTTTTTTTTTGGACTTGCATTGAATATATTGATAATTTACAATTATATTATTAATGGTGGTAAGATTTATCTCAAAAATATATTTAGTAAGACATTTTTTGGATGATGATGATGTAAATTTAATCTAATTAGCCATAAGTAATGTAACTACTAGTCTACTTAAATTACATTTGGATTTTGAACTCTATTACATTAAAAAATAATAAACTATACATAATAACCATATGAATCATATGGTTGGGATTGATATATCTTTAACTTTGATCTGCAACAATGGCATCTCTAATGCCTTACTAATGTTATCTTTAATAAAATTATTTCTTGATTTATGACGATTATACAATTATTATGTATTAACAAAACTATAACAGTTAACTTTGTAGACTACCTTTACCTCCTATTTGTAAATATTAATTAGTTAAAGTTTTTTTCTTTTCAATTTATTATTGAAAATAGTTTTATTTATCCATTGGTAGGAAGTAATATTTGACTAAGAGCTTTGGAAGATAAACATTTGCTTGCCACTCTAGTTTGATTATTCAGTTTATAGATTAATTGTACATGATCTTGAACATTAAAACTACATTTTAACTCATTTGAATGGTTGAATTTATTCCATTTTTTGTGCATGTTTTACGTAAAAGAACAGTCTAAATGTTGGTTGTGAATCTTGTCATTATACCCAGGTGCATCATTTGTTACCACCTGCTTGACTTATTGCAGCTGTAACTGTTAAAGTGTAGTGGAAAATTGTAGACATAATAATATTTATTTTTAATAATGTCTAAAATTACATTAATTTAATAACTGTTTAATGAGACTATTTAAATCAATGATTATCTGCAGTTTTTTTTTTGGCACTATAATGTCTAGTACCTCTGAAAATTATTTGAATAAAAATGTTTATAGAATTAATAGATTTTAAATGGATATGATGTAAAAATAATTATTGTAATAAAATTAGTAACAGTTTATGCTCTGTAAATTTTATATAAATTATGCTACATTTTGATTCTGTCAAATTTTTTATTTTTAATTACTGCAGTAGCTTCGCACTGTCATAAATTTTAATTTAACATAATTATAATAGCAACTTTATGTATTAAGGTCAAAATTAACATTTTAGTAATAGTTGGAATAGCCAATGACAATTTATAATTGCATATTCTATATCATATATAATAATAGTTTCCTAATATGATGGTTTATAACTATGTTTGATACAATCTATTATAATTTTGCAAAGTATAGATGATGAATTATTAATGATTCTCTATGTTATAATTAGTATGTAGAATTAATTCAGGAAAATTATCTATTAAAATAATGGTTAACAACAAAATAAATTAAAATAATGCAATTATCAGTGTACTTAATTAAAGAATGATTATTAATGAAGAAATTCAAGCAACACCAAATTATACCAATATCAATTCATTAATTGAATTCCATCTATATCATAATTTGTTATAGGACATTATGAAAAATTACCTTGATGTTTTATTAAACAGTAATTATTAAGAACAAGTCTATATTTAAAGTTCGGGAAATTTATCCTTTAAAACTGAATCTATTTTGTGTATTATATATTAAAGAGGTGATGACTATCTAATTAAAGGTCACACTGACACTTATATTTGTAGTTCAAATACTTGATTATATAAAAGTAAAAAAAAAAATGCATGATTCAGCTAAGTTAAATTTTCTGCATTTTCATAATTGACTTAATGAGGGGTAAATGATATTGAAATATACAGTATCTGATACTATTTTAGTATAACTGCATTGAGCTCATTTATCTATGTCAAGATTATTTTGTAAGAAGCACCTATATTAATATTTGGATTAGAATTTTGCAAGAATGAACTAGCCATTGTAGTTAATCTGCTGAATTAATCAATGCATCTTTAACAGTGGGTGAAGTGCACTTTCATCTGTCCATGCCTGAAGAGGACCATTAACTGGGTTAAAAATATTAGCATTTCTTCAACTTTATGTACTGTTAAAAGTGCTTTAAGTTACAGAATTTAACTATATTGATATATTTGGAATGTATATTTTGAAGAAAGTTTTTAAATTGTTCTTGTTATAATCAAATATGTTGTACAAAAACAAAAATTACTTTTGACATCATTGAGGCTCTTTTTAATATATATCAATATAAAAATACCAATGCTTTGAAAAAGAAGTGGCAGCAGCAAGTAAAATGTCTGAAGTTAAAAAAAAAAATTGTTAGTACCATACATTTCATGTGAAGATTTTAATCTTCACATGAAATGTATGGTACTAAAAGTTTTTTTAAGATGAAAAAATCTTACCAAATGTTTCATTAGTTTTATTTTACTTACGTATCTAACAAATGAAAACTGTTGAATGTGAATATTGTTTTATGCATTTAGTTTAATGTAGAAGTAACTTAGATGCATTTCATTTTAAAACAATTTAATATGACATGAATTTGAATATAAAAAACACATAAATGTATTTTAGTAAATTATATCTATTTACTCTAATGATATTTTTAAGAACTATATTTTGCCTGTTGTATTATTTGTAACTTTTCAATTAATACATCTATTATGGTTTCATTGATCATTATAGATGAATTAATAGAACTGTGAATTGTATTATCCATAGAAGTGGTTTTACTGTATTACCAGTAATCAACTGAAGTTAATGGATTAATTAATGAAACTTGGAAAAATATATATATAGTCATATTCTTTTTAATGTTTGTTTATGATACAAAACAAATTTTTTATGTTCATTTATTTAAATATTAAAATATGAATTTATTTATGAATGATTTTTATTATATGATAACATAAAGTAACTGTTAAAAAAATCTTAACCATGCTTTTTTGAGGTCCTTTAGTAGATAAGTGAAATTACTTTAACTTATTAGTTATGATATGTACTGTATATAATAATCAATCCTGCTCTGTCCAAATATAATCTGATGATCAATCACTATGGTGAATGATTGTTATAATTAAATTTGGATAGTAATATATATAGTAATAGTATAGTAATATATATTTCAGATCTTTTGTACATAAAAAAATTAATGTCATAAGAAGATTATATATGCAAAGCAGAGATTAAAAATATTAAAAGTAACTATATAATAAGTTTAAAAATTAAAGTATTAATATCTTTTTAATCATGCTGATAAAATTGTTTATAAACAGAATAATAATTACTTTGATTTTTTAGGAAAATTGATAAGAATCTCATATTTTTTTTTAAGATTTCATCTATTGAGATAAAAATAAATGATTTATAATTCATTTCTTAGATCTTCAACAAGCTTCAACAAGAGTTTATAATGATTAGTGACACTCTTAAATGTTTAAACATTTTGCAACTAACAATATATTATATTCTTTCTTCTAAATTTTCTTTTTTTTTAAGAATTAAAATGTTTTTGTTAGCTTAGATAATAAGTTTATCCACAGTTAAAAATGTTTTTTGTAAATGTTAAAATGTATAACAAATGTATTTGTTTAAGCAGTTTCATCAAAGTTCATAAATTTATTACTTTTTATCAAAAATTTGAAACATTTATTTTTGATTTAAAGAAACAATAAAATTAAACTTATAACTTATCAGTTAGGAGTATTATTAAAGCCAAAAGTTACAGAGAAAATAAAAGTTAAAATATTATATATCAAATTACAGTATTTAATTTATAATTTAACATGATTATATGAATATAAATATTAATTGTATCAATATTATTTTTCTAACACTTTGGTTTTTCATTTTATCATTATGCTGATATTACTCCTAACAACAATATTGTTTGTTAAATTATCAGGAATTCATTGTTTTGAATTAAAATTTAATTATTATTCACAAAATATTTTAGTCAAAACATTTTTAAAGAGTGTAATAATGTTTTTTTATATTGTTTAAATAAATTTTTTAAATGTTTAATATATATATATATATAATTTATATAAATCATTTGCAGTTAACATTTTCCGATAAAGAAAAATATAAACTAGATAATTTTTTTTATATAAGAATTAGGCTAATTGTTTCAGTTTTCTGTATCCCTTTCCACTCTGTTGAATATCTGACATTTAAAGTAACTGTTCAAAGTTCAATAAATTATGCTTAATTACAATGCTGTAGTTTTGTAATACATTCTGATGCTGTAAACTATAAAAATGATTAATAAAATAGATCATTTTTATAATTACAACATCAGAATTGATTTTTACGTCTTTATTTTGATTCATAAAATTTATTAATTAATTAATTTTTTCTAGTACATTTTTTAAACAATTGTTTATTTGTAAAATTAACCATTTGATAATTGCTTACTATGTAATGTAGACTTTAATAATTAAAAATAGCAATTTAAAAAGACAGTAAATAAGATAATTATTTTTAATTTTAAATTAAATCATGAATACTGTATTAAATAAATTTAACTTTGATTTTGATTGGAGTAAATTGAAAGTTTAATATAATTTCTCATTTTTTTAATCAAAATATTATAAACTCTAATGGTTTATTTTTATCAAAATAATATATAAATGGTTAATATAGTAAAAATCCATAAATGTAAGTAAAGATAAAATTCCTTATTCTTAGAGTTCAAAATCTTTTTGATATTGCTTTCTAGTGCTTTTGAATAAGTGATGCTGAAAAGCACTAAAAATGTCAATATTAAAAGTCTACAAAAACATTCACAGAAGCTTGAAACGAGATTTCTAATCATTATCTAATGCTTTAACACACACTTTTTTTTTCTCCTGCTTGTATGCCTGAAGATGGCTGATGAAGAGACTGAAAATGTTTGTTTTTTTAAGAAAATAATTGCTGAAAGAAGTGTTAAAGCATTAGGTAATAATTAATTAAATGTGTCTTTAAACTGCAA